GCCGGCATACAGATATACGTCCGTGTGGGATAGATCTGCAATCGGTTTGCCTAGTTGCGGGAGGTCTGTATGTGGGATCTGAACCCTCGGGGGGAGCGCTGCCACACTCCCAAGCGGCACACTGTAGCAGTGCGCCACCAGGCCGGCCCCTGAATGTGTTCTTTTGAGGTCAAGCTCTAAACCCAGAAAATGCTGGTCCCTTTTTTATGTCACGTCAGCAAATATCTGCTTGCCACTTCCAGTTGTGACTATAGCTTCATATTAGTGAAGGCCAGGGGATGGGGAGCTCGTTAGGGTTTATGGTCTCAAGTGAAAAGCAGCCCGGACAAGGCAAAGGACCTTTTCACCCATCCCTTGAATCTCTGACAAATGCTTCGCCCAAGGATGGACTCATACGTCTTGGGTGTGGGGGTGCAGAGCAGGGCAATATTCATCGTGGCCTTGCTTCTACAAAATCCACAAGACAAGAAACTACCCTGAAGGAAATATGAAAATAAAAGCCCCATTTTGAACTGCAGGGTTAGGGGAAACCAGAGTTTGAACGTAACTTTTCCTAGTGGTTTCTATTTCTTCCGCCAATTTCACGGTCTGTACTGACCGTCTGACAAAGTCCTTCAGCATCGGGTAACACCTGCACCTTCATGCCCTGCCTGAGCTGCAGCCTGTCATTTGGGTCTGGTATTGATAAGGAGTCCTGGATCTTGAGACAGAGTAGGGGAAAAGGCGATTAGGGCTCAAGGGGCTGTAAAATTTCTTTCTTCCCTTATGAATGAAAATCCAGCTTTTCTGTTGGCTGAATTGAGATGGCTTCTATCAATAGGATAATAACAACAACAAAAAAGACTATTGGATTTTGACCAAACATGAACACCTGGGATTCATGTTAATAGTTTGCTCGTAGGTCCCCAAAACACTGGAGAGAAAAACACAAAATACCAAAAAATGCAAAGCAATGCATGGCCCAAAGATGTCCTTGTTAAAAGGATGGTGGGGATACAGAGGAAAGGGGGGGGGCCTCCCTGCCACACTCTGGAAGGACATTTGCCAAAGACTGGGAAATTAAGATGAATAAAGAGCATTTTGATTGGCTTTATATGATGTTCAGTGGCTTTGATCACCAATCAGTACATTCAGTTCAAACACAGAACACGGGATGCTGGGTGTACCTGAGTTTTATGTGTACTTTTGTGAGTGGTGTGGAATTCCTTGTGGTCTGCAGCTCAGAGTGACTGCCTGTCTTTTGAAAAGTGGGAATTTCTGGGAAAATGTCCATTAAACAGTTACCACGCTGCATTCCATTAACGACTGCTGTCCTGTATGACGACTGCTGAGATGCAGCAGCCTGAGACAGAATCTCCCATCTGAATTATACTGGCAGAAAAGCCTAAAGTTTTCCTTCCTTACACTAGCAAATTCACTTAAAATGACAGTTTTACTGGCATAACTATTATTTATTTTTAAAACAGCTGAGACAGCCAAGTATTTAGGTTTTTCTTCATGCTTTGCTTATAAGGTTTGTGAAGCTGATGATGTCAGGATTGAATATATTCATGTTTCAATGGTCTAGGCAGAGAGAATGTAGCCAGAAACAATCCATGTCAAGGATGGGGGCAGGTTTGCCTGGAGGGACTCTGGTGGCTCCTGTTGTGGGATTAAGATGACCATCCCTACCTCCACGAAGGGTGTTGCTCTAGTGAGTCTTTGCGTGGGTTCTGGGGGACAAGTGACCATTCTGGCCTCAGTATAATGACTGCCCTTGCGTGAGTGCACACAGTCGCTTGGCCTCTGTTGGGGCAGCTGCAGCAGTGAAGGTGGCAGAGTTAGGATGGGAGGCTGGGTGGCCATCCCTACAGATGAGTACCAACACAGGGCAGTCTCGGCTAAGCCAGGAAGACTCAGTGGAGCCACAGAACTCAGAAGATGGAAAAAAACATATGGGAAAGACCTCATTGCAAGAAGACTTCAGGCTTTATATATGTAAAACTGCAAACTGAAAATTTTAGTGTGCCACCTGGTTGTCATGTTTACATACCAAAGATACGTATAATTAACTCAGTAGAATTTTTCCTGAAATTGATAAAATGAACTGGTTGACATGATGACACAACCTTGGGCAATTTTTAGGATACTACCTACCAAGTTCTTGAACCCTGTAGTGGATTGAATTATGTCCCCCCCAAAACTAACTGAAGACTGAATTGTGTCCCCGAAGTTTTATGTATTAGAAACTTAGCCCCCACTGTGACCATGTTAAGAGGGTGGGAAATCCTATTATGGTAATTGTAAGGTGGGGCCTTGAAGAGGTGATTAGATTGTAGGACCATGCTGCAGTGAATGGATTAAAAATGGTGGTAGGGGCTTGGTTGTGGGGGCTTTAAAAGAAGAGGAGAGTCTGTCTTTCTCTCTCTCTGCTCCACTATTTCACAATGTGATACTCTGCCGTCGCTGTCATCACCACCAAGGCTCTCAGCAGATGCGTTCCCTGGACTTCAAACTCCTTAGCCTCAGAAACTGTAAGCAATAAATTTTGTTTTCTTTATAAGACACCCAGTTCTGTGTATTTCGTTATAAGCAGCAGGAACGGACTAATATAGATCCTATGCCACTTCATGAACGTGGTGCCATTGACAGCAGACAGAAAACATTACTGAGATCACAGAATAAGATCTTTGTGTCACCAAAGCCTAGCATAGTACCAGGCCCACAACAGAAATTCATATGTGATTACCGAATACAAAAATGAATGGGAAGAAAGTACATCACTGGATTAATAATTAAAAAAGAGAGACTTAACCTTTCAAAAAGGTTACAATCTCTCTTTTTCCAATGAAAAAAATGTTTAAGGGGACTTCAGCACCTCTTGTGCTCTTTCAATTTTAACACTTCTTCCTTTCAGAGAATATTTCTTTATTGTATTCTAAGTTTCATCTGCTATAATTTAAGCACAGTTCCCTCTTGGGTGGTTTGTTTACTTATATTTTGATTTCACGAAATGTTTTGCTGGTTTTGCAAATGGTCAGGACCAAATACACCTTTGATTCCTTGCCACGTCCCTTCCTTTGGCTGCAATGGCACATTCCTTTCAGAATCTGGCCTGGGCTAAGTCTGAATATAGGCCATAAAAGAAAAGATCTGTAACCAAAATGACAAATCCTGGCCCTCGCAGTCAAGGGTGCTCCTGCCTGTCACGTGTAGCGTGGGGCCACGATAAATATCCAGAGTTGTCCGCAAGCGTTTGCTGGCAAGTAACTGGGAGATAGGCGCTCTGCCTGGTTGGCACTGTGTGGGTAGCTGTGAGGCACAGCACAGTGCCATACATCCACGGGCTCGCCACTGGTATTGACCGAA